AGTAGACCCATTCGGTGGCCGAATATACGTGAATAGTGCTGGCAGCTGGGGTGCGAGTGTTGGATAGGTGCAAGGACTTCGCACACTGCGTCTTCAGTCTGGGTGATGTGTGCGGCAGCCCGCTCTTGTGATCGCCCTGTTTGTGTCCTTGCCAAGCAGCCTCATTATGTGGCCCACAAGCCTGCTAGTTTGCTGCTTGGACCGCGCCGTTCACGACTCTAATATCCTGAAAACTCGAAGGTCATCAACACTGCGCACTTGCTTATAAACTGTAAGTTAAAATGCTCATAGTCGCTGGAGCTTCAGAATCCCAACAGCGAATACTGGCCCATCAACTTGATAAAACCGCTTGCTACAACTGCGTGCGGCACTGCATGGAAACTCTGCCACTGTAAATGCTTGTGTGGCTATCTATCTTCCTTGCCTTCTGGTTTGGGATATTTAAGTTATCGACGATTGTACATCGAAAGTGGGGAATGGGGCTGGCGCATAACCCGCATCTGCGGTCGCAGCATGGACGGGATAATTGGGTAGCTACAGGTTTTTTTGAAATTTACTGCTGCTAATGATGGCAAAAATAGTGGAAGGAGAATTGGGAGCGCCGAAGATGGAATAGCTGTTGAGTTGCTAGTATGGATTTTGTCTGCTGTCTTTGCATTGAATTTTGATGACGCATGTGCACATTCGGCCGAGTAGGTTCATACAGTGACTGAATGGCGCATGTCAGAAGTCCTGGCCCTGATAAGCCATTTTCAACGAAGTGGATTGAAAATTGGCTAAACAGGTCGACAGGTAACGTGAGGGAGCGATCGGAATGAGATCATATTGGAATCGAGTCCTCGTTGCTGGCGCGAGAGCGGTAACATTGGCGGCATTTGTTGACGAAGTATCGGCGGTTTTCTCAATAGAGTTTGGAGTGGGAAGGATTGTAGTCGTTGCCATCGGGGTTTGGCAAAGATAATGGACTCAGTGGTGGGTGGAGGACCATTAGGGGTGTGTTTGCCAGGTGTGGTGGTGTTAACCTTGGTTGTGTGAGGGCTGAGAATGGAGGTGGTTGTGAATGTAGTATGTACGTTATTCAAACTATTGTTCCAAAAAATCCAAATATGTCCGACGGGTCGATCCGTACGTGGAGCAATCGTTGAGAGTGCGAATATGTTGGAAAGTGTCGAAAGCTCTTGAGATTTGTGAGCCACAGTCTGGCTCTGAGAAAGGCGACCTGATTGGTTTTGTATATTTTCATCCTGTTTTCACTGGCCCCGAACAAGACCGTCGAATGTCTCCAGTTGAATTTGAAATACTTAAAACTTTCGTAAGATGAGTGTTTTACACTGTGAGCTCGGTGCCAGAATGGAATAAACTCGTTAACAGAGGTTCCATTGTATAAAAATGCAAATACGGATTCCGAAGCGGAGTCTAAGGCACGACAAAGTTGGTGTAACCTCTCCAGAGCAGGAATCAAGCTCTCGAGAACACGTACATGGTTCACATCGCCTGCATTGACTTTCAAAAGGTCCTCGACACTGCAACATACCAGAGACTGCTGTACAACCTAGAACGAAGAGGAATCAGAGGTAAGTTACTCACATGAAGCCATGGCTTCCTTGTGGGTTGAAAACAGGTTGTGTGCATCGGCTAAGAGAAGTCGAGCGCTGCTGCGATTAAGAGTAGAGTTCCCCAGAGTTCAATATTATGTTCCATCCTGTTGGCGATGATATCCGACATTTGGACTGTAACACAGCTATGTTTGACGATAACATGAAAACCTGGAGTGTAATCCGGGGGCCTGCCGACGAAGACAGATATTAGATCAACTTTACTAGATTGGAAGAGTGGCCTGACCGTTGGCCTCTACCGCTCAACGTCGAGAAGTGTATAAAAGTCCACCTAGGCAAGCCAGACAGATCATACATCAGTAGAAGGTACGTTCGCAACAGTGCAGCTCTGCACCACATGGAAACTCAAAAAGGCCTCGGTTTGCGGACGACGAATTCCTTAAAGTTGCCCTCTCATTGCTCAAAAGTAACTAAGAGCGTAATGTTCGGGTTGCACGACATTAGATAAGCCCTTTTGGAGTTCAATGAAAATTTATTCCCCAAGATTTTCCGGACATTCCTGTGGCAGCCTTTGGAGTATGCTATACAAGTACGGAAACCCTGGCCAGTACACGATCAGAATTGTCTCGAAATACTCCAAAAGTAAGCCACCAAAATTATTAAGAATCAAAGCCCTTTCCCACATACAATCCACTTAAAGAACCTTAATATGTTTCCTATAAGGTATAGGGAAACTCGCGGCGACTTCCTCCCTAATAACAATTCGGTGCCGATTCTACGCCGAATCTAATTAGATATGACGATTAATCTAAGACTAATCTATGTCGAGTTTGTCGCGCATATCTACATAGAATCGGTGCCGATGGTCGGCATAGAGTCGGTGCCGATGGTCGGCCTAGAGTCGGTGCTACAGGCCTTTCGCATTGTGGGGGCATTGGATTAATGTCTGACGTTTGGGGACTTTCTTGAATTTGCAACGACGACCAATATCCGGGATCATCCATTTAAACTGCGCGTCCCTCAGGCAAGGTTAGTTGTGCGCAAGTTCTCTTCGCTGTCATAGTGGTCAAACTGTGGAATTTTCCCTCATAGATTTTGTGATATTATAATCTCTGGAATTCTCTTAAAGAAACCTTGAGAGATATATGTGCGATAACGAGTCGAAGTCATGAGAAATTTAACGCCTTCCTTAAAATGTCACCTCAAATATCAAATTTTATAGCTCTGTGTGAACTCTTGCAACCCACATGTTTTTTATACACTGCATCGAAATACACTTCGCAAATGGGGTGTCCAGAGGCTCATGCATGTTCCCTTAATCAACTGAACTTAACGGAATAAATTACCCAATCCTGAAGCGCTATGTTAAGTAGTTCAAAAGCGTCCTTAATCGACCATCCACAATATCCGACGCCACCATCAACAAAGCCCCTGAAGTAGAAGTTAATTATGACATAGCCCTCTCGTCTATCCTCTCGAAAGCATTTAGGGTCCTGTACCAGATACGTGTTGGGAAAGAATGGGGATACGACACAACTCCGGCCGAAGGTTTACCTTAACGCTGCCCTCGTCTGATAGACAAGCTGAGATCACTAGTCCCTGAAGTAGGCTGACAAGTGCAGGCTCTGAAGGCTTCGGAAACAGAAGCATCTTCCATATGTACAAGCGCAAATATAACCCACAATTCTGCTGAAATCAAAACGATATCTTGCTAGTCAATACCACAAGAAAAATCTCCGCCCACGTTCTTGTCAAATATTTGAATACCCACCTGAAGCATGGGCTTATATAGGAAAATAAGTGCGGGTATCGCTTGATTCGTCGAACGATCGATATGATTTTCAACGCTCGCTAACAAGGGGAGAAGT